TCATTTAAGAAAATAAAATCGAAAAAAAAATTTTTTTCCCCGGCGACTTCTATGGAGAGTAGGGTGGTCTTCTCGCGGACCCTCTCTTAAGAGAAGAGTATCTCCAAGTAGTCAACCATGCTGTACAAAAAGGAACTTCGATTTTGATGAAAATTTTCAGTGTCTGTAGAGCTTGTAATTCTGAGCATTCTGATAAAAAAAGTTTTCTTTTAACTCTGTATTTTGACTTCTAAGTATATAAAATAAAAGATTTAGTATTGTTAATTAATGAAGATTTATTTAACAGTATTCTTCAATGTAAATGTTTTCTAATCACAATATTGGATTTGTCATTACGTGATACAGCAGCACAACTGATATATTTAATTGAACCAGTTGGTATATGAGTATCGACATGATTGTACGTGTTTTAACGACATCTTACGCCTAATAATATTAATATTTTTATTTGCTAAGACGAGATTTCAGCTTCAAAACTCTACTACTTTAGGTTAAGTATGGTTACGAACAGTAGTTTTTCGTTTATGTCATTTTTATTTACCAGATGTTCATGCATAAATAAAGCATCTAATAAAAATTGATTTTATTTATTTAATTTTATAGGTAATTTCCAACTTTTACATCTGATTTTCGCAGGCGCTATTGACTGACTCCTCTTACTGATTCCTAAGGATTCCGTTGATTCTAAGGGATTCCATTGATTCCAAGAGATTCCATTGACTCCAAGGGATTCCACTAATTCCAAGCGATTCCGCTTATTCCAATGGATTCCGTGGATTCCAATGGCACAGAATCAGCTGTTTTACCCTTGGATGAACCACTAAATCAATTAACCAACTGAAACAAGACCACTTGTACAACTATTGATAGAGAAAATACAGTTCAAGATCATTCTTTTAAATTTGACAAGTCAACAAGAGTTTAATGAATATAATAAAGATAAATTTCACAAATATTTAAATAATTTTTTGTTTTTTTGTAATAATTTTATTTATTTTAATAAAGAAAAAGATAATAATAAACAACAGAGAAAATAAAGAACAAGAAAAAGAAGAGGAGTTTACAGAAGAAAAATAGAAGAAAAATAAATAAATAAATAAATAAATATATTACACTAGGCCTTTTGAATTAATTTCTTTATCAAGCGCGTTGATTTCTTTATCATGCAGGTAAAGTTAGTGAGAAAGTCTAATTGGATTTAATCCCATTAAATCTCGGGGAAACAATTGGCTTGTATATTCAGTTCTTGTATATTTTTGTTTGATGTATTTTTTAATAACTTGATGCATCTTTCTTTTGTGTATTTTAATATAGTTTAATGCTTGTAATGCGTTATCAAGTATTTTTAATATTTTAATGCCTTATCAAGTATTTTTAATATTTTAATGTGTTTTAATGCATTTCCATCTAGTTTTTTCGTGGTTTATTGCATTATAATGTATTACCAGGCATCTTTTAATGTCAAGTATTTCTAGTGCTTTAATACATTTTAATGCATTGTCGAGTAGTTTAGTATAGTTTTTTGCGTTGTAATGCATTACCAGGTGTTTTTAATATCAGCTGTTTTTTTCAATGTTTTAATGCATTTTAATGCATTTTTTTAGTCTGATGCATTCCAATGTATCACTAGGTATTTGTTATCATTTTGATGCATTTTATAATGTATTTTTATGTAGTTTAATGTAGTTTAATGCATTTTAATGTAGTTTAATGTAGTTTAATGCATTTTCATGTAGTTTAATGTAGTTTAATGCATTTTAACGTAGTTTAATGCATTTTAATGTAGTTTAATGTATTGTTAATATATTCCGTCTGGTTTATAATGTAAGAGTAAGAGTATTGGTGCAACATTTTTTGAACGTCGGAGTAGACAATACGGGTTAATATGGGGAGAAGTGATTTTACAAATAAGGTGGATAGAATGAGGTGATTTTACAAGTAATGAGGCTAGAGATAGATGGTTTTTTCAAGTAATGAGGTTAGAGACAGGTGATTTCACAAACTGTGAGAGAAGATAAAGAAAGAGACAAGTTGTCAACTTTTTTGAAAGATAAAGCAAAGGAGAGAAACGAGAAAAGGAAGAAATACGAAGGAGAAAAACGAGAAAAGGCAGAAATACGAAGAAGAGAAACAGGAAAAGGAAGAAATGCGGACACATTGGGGTGGAGTGTGGGTGCGGGTGGGTGTGGGTGGGTGTGGGTGTGGGTGTGGGTGGGTGTGGGTGGGTGTGGGTGTGTGTGTGGGTGGGTGGCTGGATGTGGGTGGGTGTGGGTGTGGGTGTGGGTGTGAGTCTTCTCTTCAGCGACACCCACACCCACACCCACACCCCACTTTAACATAAACGAATAAAAATTTACCACATTTTAAATCAAGAGAAATGTCAACACCTTCATATTTATACAGAAAAGAAATAGAAGACGGCATAAATATTTGATCATTTCTTGAATTAACCTCCAATACAAGAAATCAAATAGATTCATAGGAATTTTTTTTTCTTACCGAATAATTTTGAACAACAAAATTGTTATTATTTAATACATTGTTAAAATAACGAAAAATAATTTTTGTTTTAAGTAATTGTTGTTCTCGTTGATTATCTCCCATTTCGAAAAAAAAATCTAAAGTATTTGAAAAAAAATTAACAAATATTATATCTATATAATATATATTTTTATTGAAAGGATATTCATGTAAATGTGTTCTTATGAACAACATGGTAATAAACAATTAACTTTAGTTGAACAATTATGTATTGCACGTTCATAACCAATTGATCTTTGAGTAGATTTTATTTGTTCTTCAATTGATGTACAATAACTAACATAAAATATTCTTGAAAATTAATTTTTATTTGTACTAATTCATGTTCAACTAAACACCAAGTTCTAAATATATTTGATAGATCTGTTAATTCATAAGATATCATTTGCCATGGATGTGTATGTAAATGTTCAGGAGCATGACGTATATATATATCAATTTTCCCATCGAATGTAGCTTTTTGTTTTGTTGTTAATTGAAAATTATCATAAATATTTGATGATTGTTCATGTTGTTGTTCATGTTGTATATTCTATTTACGTTTTTGATAATTAAGCCATTTAATATATTGACTATTCGTTTGACCAAAGAATGATGATGGACCAAGAACAATTCTCCATTGACGTGTTAATGTTTTTTCATTTTATTCATCATGTTTACGTTTAGCTGATGGTTTTTTTATAATTGTTATTGAAAATTTTATTTGTCCAGGTAGATCTTCAATATCATTATTTGTATTAATTAATTATTCTTCATTATTATCTATATGAGTTTGTTTATCAATAGAATTAAATACATCAGGTTATACGTTTGGGTTTAAATAAACTATTATTCTCAACTAAACGTTTATGTAACTAATCAGGATGTGGAACATGAGGAACAGGATTATATTGGTGTATTACGTGAAACATTAGCAATAACAAAACGACAACAAAGATCATTATCTTTAATAACATCTTCACAAAAAAATTCAATAAGTCTAACTTAAGAAAAAAAAACAAAAGAAGATTTTTAAAAGCTTATTAAAAGATTTAAATAAACCTTTTTGTTCTCGATATTGATGTTGATTTTTCTTCATCATAATCTGATAACATTCTTGACATGGTTCTTCGTTCGAATATTAACTCAAATAATTCTTTATTTGATATATCTTTCGCAACATATCAAGTCAATAATCAGCAATTGTTGTAACATGATTATAACATTCGTCAAGTGTTGTTCCTTTAAAAAATGCTTCAATCATACTTGCTTGAAAAATTTTTATTAATTGCAATTCACCATTATGTTTTACTTCAAAATCTTTTAATTCAGCTATTGTAGCATCCATATTAAATACATAATAATGTTTTTTTAATACGTTTTCGTTCTTCTTTTGATGCTGGTAATATCATTGCTAAATAAGGATCATCGATTTAAAACAAAAATCGAATTTTCTGAACCAATTTCATACAGATGTTTTTCTTTATCAATTAATTCATGATATTGATCATTTGTATAATAATCTTTTATAAGTAAATTTAATAAATTACATGGATAAGATATAACAACTTTTGGACGTAATGGATCACGTATAATTAATTCATAATTTTCAGGAAATGTTGCAGGTAATACACATCATATACCATCCTAAATATTCAATAAGTAAAATAAAAAAAGTATACTTCGGACGGTGTCAAACATCCAGGTAATTTTCCAAGTATTTCTTCGACTATATAGTCTATATTCGAAATAATCAGAAGCTTCGGTTATGTTCGAGTTCGAATATTTTTAATTTTTGGGTGCCTTTAACCTGTCACTTTTTGAATCATTTATTTTATTACGTATATACTTATAGCTAATCTCAAATTCTTTTTGTTACTTTTGATGAATTGACTTAACATGACCGAATCGGAACTCTGAAACCGAACCGAAACCTGAACGATCGGTTTCAGTGCATGTTTAGACTTAAACATTACTCTTTTATAAAGATAAGAATTGGAAAGTTTGTGTTTAGTTAAATTAACATCGATTTTACCGTATCAAGTTCGAGAGGTCTTCCAATTTGTTCAATTAGTTATCGAGTACATTGAATAATTGTTGAACCAATCGTACATATAATTTCACCCATTTCCATTCGATGTCAACGAGCATCTAAATTATCAATGAATGCATTTCATATTTGTACAAATTTGAACAAACCTCTTCGCATAACATAACCATAAAATGAATTTAGAATACATTTGTCTAAATTATAGTGAATCATAAATAACAATTAAATTATTACATCTTTTAACTTCATTAAATATCATCTTTTTTTTTTCTGCATTAGCGAAATTTTTTTTCCATTTTTAATATAAATCATTATATTCATAATGCATAGCATAAACATCGATTATAATATCATTTCCCAGGTGGATCATTCCGGCCGTCGGAAACGGCGTCGTATCCGGCCTGAAACGACTATAAAACGGCGAATTACTGCAGTAATTTTGGTCTTATTTCGCCGTAATCCGTCATACCATATTACGACCACCGTCTATCGCTAGAAAACGGCAGTCGTTTTTTTCCGGTTTTGCTTCCGTAATCTGGTATGACGGATTACGGTGCCGTTTATCGACGTTTTACATCGTTAATCGCCGTTTTATAGCCGTTTCAGGCCGTTTACGACGCCGTTTTATTGGACCTGGGTTGGATAAATAAGCATAAACAGTATTTTCTCGTCCAAGTTTTGTTCCAACATAAAAATATGGTAGATAAATAAGTGAAACTTTAAACTGATCACTAATTTCACCAATAAAATAAAAATCAAGAGCTGAGATAAATTTTTGATGTTCTTCATCAAATAATTTACATCATTGTACATTTTTATAATCA